ATAGAGAGAGGGTCGGTTCTAGTAAGAAAGGTAAGGTGAGCAAAACCGACCCGAAACCGAACCGAGCTATTTGGTGCGGTTTTTGAAGAGCTCGGTTAACGGTGCGGTTTGGATTTTTGAAAATCACATATATTTCGGTACGGTTCAGTTTTCTCTCAAAAAGGTCTGGTATTAACGGAACCGCACCGATTGTTAATAAAGTATCATTTAGTTTTACACTTTTACATATGCAAGCTGCACTTTTATTTTACATTTAAAACATAAAATGAAGTCTTGCCCTAAATTTTGCTCTGAATTTCAACTCTCAAGTTCTCTCAATCCCTGCAGCCACAACAATCCATTTTCACCCTCAAGTCTCAACCCTACTCCGCCACTCTGAACTCCCCGTTCCGCTGCTCGCCGTTGGTTGCTTACCCTCCGGCACTCTCAACCCTGCTCTCACCCACCGCAAGATCAAGTTCTCAACACCGCCCTCACCCTCCGGAGTTCTGGACCCCACTCTCACCCTCCGGCAATCTCGACCTCGCTCTCAGTCTCTCACTCTCTCGATTTTTTTTTTCTTTTCTCATTTTGATCCATCCGATCTTTCTTCAGTTTTTTTGTTGAGACCTGAGGGTAATTGATGCTTAATTTCCGAGAATCAGCTGTAAATCTGCAAACAAATAATCTTTTCATCTAATTTCAGCCCCAATTTTGAGTGTTGCTTTATGAGTGAAGATCACTTCTGCTATTTTATTTATTTTTTAATTTATGAGTGTTGACATTATTATGTTATGGATATTGTTTCGAGTGTTGGACTTATGTAACATTATGCATGCTGCATGTTTTCTTAATTATTGTGGTTGTTTTATTTTGTAATGGTAATGGGATGTTTAATTAAATCTAGTTTAATTTGTATGTTTGTAGTAATCCTTTTTTAATTACCGAAAAACTGCACCGAACGACCGAGATTTTTGGTTCGGTTTTTCTTTATATTGCGGTGCGGTTCGGTGAAAAAATTCATGGTTCTGAAAACCGGAACGGTCATCAAACCGGTCGAGCTACTGGTTCAATGGTTCACTGGTCGGACCATTGGTTGAACCGGTTGGACCGGAATTTAATATATTAATATTTTTTAACTATATGATATATTATGTAGTAAATTTTATATATAAAAATATATTTAGTTAAATATTTAAATACTTAAAGTATGCATAAATATTTTATAAATATCCATTAGACTTAAAAGCTATGAGGTTAAACAATATATGAAATATATTATAAAATATTTTATATGACACAGAAAGTGGATATGAGAAACACAATTAATATATTACAAATGTATTATTGCCTCAAAATAATAATCACCAAATTTCTGTAACTTTTTTTATTAGAGAAGAAATACAATTAATATATTACATATACTAGTACAACACCCGTGTATTACACAGATGCTTGCTAAAAATTTTTCTTAAAATTTAAAATCAATGAGAAAAGTGGTTGAAAATTTAAATAATTTTCGCGGAGTATGCAAGGCCCAGGGAACCTCTTCCACGCGTGAACAACTCTCCTCCTCCCAACTCTCCTCCTCCTCAGGGTCAACAGTGGTGATGATGGCTGCCCATGGAATATCTACTTGTTGGAACTTGGCAAACTTCATTCTTCGAGCTATCTAATATAATATTTTTTATTAAATGCTTTGTCTCGATATCGATCGATATATGATATCCAATGGTCGTGCCATTGTTAGCTTCTGTTTTGAGGATTATATGTGAACATGTGGCTCTTATTCAGTTTCACAAAAATTGAAGCCTTCATCAGCAGGGCATCTGTGTGAGATGTTCAACTCAAACTTTTATTGCTGATGAATGAAGTGGCGATGGACACTTCTAAAACAAGCTTTTTGTGTTCATCTTTTCCATGTTTTCTCTCTCTAAAGACTCCAATAAACATCCAAGTTGTTTACTATGTATATAGTAGCTCTGGTTTTAATTAACTTTTCCCTTAGAATCAGCAAAGCTATCGACCTCCATAATCATCTGTTTTTCATTTCAGGAAGCCGACAGAAGCTAACGAACCTCTAAATCGCATCAACACAAGATCGATTGTGTTTGTTCAAATTGTTGAATAAAATTTTCTTGAACGTGAGTTTTCCATATACGATTAACCTTGAACATCAACTAAAGCATGTCTAAGTACGACGTTAATATCCGAGGAATTCAATGATGTGGGACACGCAGAAATCCCAAACATAAAACATTCATGCGTGTCATGGCATCGTAGAATGCACGTTTTACCAAAAATCTTCTTCCCCTGACAAAAGTTGCCGTCGTCCTTGTAATCGATTCAATCGAACATAGAAACAATTCAATGCAGAAATCACTTTCCGGGGAAATAGGTGGCGTGGAGTATGGCCAATGAGCGAGGAGTATTTGCCAGCCCTTTCAAGTAACTATAATGAAAGAGAAATATGTGGCGATCAGCGGATAGCGGATTGTATTAGCGGATAGCAAATTATATTAGCTGATTTGACCAGCGAATTGCATTAGCGGTTTTTAAATAAGTGTTCGGTAAATAGCTGAAAGCTCATAGCTGTTTGACATTGCAAATTACCAATAAGGACATTTTTATTATTTAGGGTGTACTCTTTTAATAATAATATATTAAAACATTTAATATTCTTTAGTTGGTAACTTATAAATATATTATTTTTTAAAAAAAATTTACCAACACTTGATTAAGAAGTTATAAATTATACATTTTTCTAGATAAATTAATCATATGGATGACATATTATTATTTATTAGCACCATAAATCAATGTAAATTGTAAAATAAATAATACAAATTAAAAAGTTCCAAATTAAAATAGTAGATTGTGAATCCTCTATCCCAAAAAGCTCCTTTAATGAGCTTTTTCTAAATTAGAGTTTTGGACCCAAAAGCTTATCAAATAAGCTATTTACCAAACAAGCTCAATAACGGATTTGACGGTCAAACCACTCAATTAAGTCCAATCCGCTAATTTATTTTCAATCTGCTATCTTCCAAACGGGACGATATGTGCTTCATATTGAAAGTAACTTGACAAAGGATATTTTCTTGACCGGATAACAATTAACATTATTAATTTTTGTACACACGATCATCAATTGTTATGCAGGTGGAAGTTGGGTACTTGGCAGACGTATGAAGCGGAAGTTTGTAAATTAAAAAGCTCAAGGGAAAGTTAAGAATCGGATATGATTTCATTTTTAGTTCAATACTAGTACAACACCCATGTATTACACGGGTGCTTGTTAAAAAATTATTCTTAAATTTTAAAATTAATGAGAAAACTATAAAAATCTAGTTTACTTTTACAAAAAAAAATATATTACTCTATATTTTAGAATGATTGTGTTACTTATGATTTACATATGTTATATTATATTAGTTTTTATAACTTATATCATATAAATACTTGAAATATATTTATATTAGTTGATAAAAAATTTTATTTTTTTAATTAATATTAAAAATAATTTTATTATTGTTATAAAGATAAATATAAATTATTTTTTATACATACAATATGGATGTTAAATCGAAACTCATCAAAAGATGATTAATTTGATATATTACATATGTAAAACTGATAAAAAATACAAAAGTTATTAACTTTTAAATATATATAGTAAGGAATGATATTGAAATGTAATTAATACATGTAACATGACCATAAATAATCAACATATTTATGGTAATCCGAACCTAATTATTTTTGGTTTGGAATTAAATTAAAATTTACCCAAGCCTAATAACGAAGCATGTAATTTTGCTACATAGAATTCGGAAGCATAAGAAGAAGCCACGTAGGCTCAGCGCGTTCTGAATTAATATATTGAGAGGATATTGGTCATTAATTTGAAAAACTCATCAAATAAAGTACACTGATCATTAGCGACAGTATAAAATTCGCGGTTTTCTTTCAGGTCTAATTTGATAGTCGTTTGATGTCCGTTTCAAGTGGATGACCTATAGTTGCATTCTTCTTGTCGAGACGGTCGTATCCCTAAACTTTTAGACCAATTATAGTTCGTTAACTTGAGTTATTTTCTGTAACATCCAATTTAGGTGAATGATCCACCATTCGATTCTTCTTGTCAAATCGGTCATACTCATGAAATTTGATCTCAAATGGAGCTTGTTTGCCTACATGCATCCAAAATAATTTTAGCCCAAATTCATTGTTGGTCATACTTAATAAATAGTAGCTTTTGCCTACACAATTTGCATCCAAAATAATTTCACCCGAAATTCGTTGTTGGTCATACTTAATAAATAGTAGCTTTTGTGAGTCATAATTAGAATTACTTTCTCAGTCACTTTAGAATGGCTTTGAGAAAGTCTTCCACGAAAAATAATGTCATAAAATCGGTACAAAAACCAGTTTTTCTTACTTATTTCACTTATATAAATATAAAAATAAATAAAATATGGAAAGAAAATAACCAAATTTAAAAGGATAAATAGAATAACCATTCCCAATCTACAATTCAAAATATTAACATAGAATGATATATTTAGTTAATAATGAATGGAAGATGCTACAGTCCCATTACAAAACAATTCCGTCGGAATTTATAACCGTTAGATCAATTATTTGTGAGGATTACATGATTTAACTGCTACATATTGAAAATGTGATAAATTAGTTGAAACGTTGAGATTATCCACTACTTGGTGGTAGCAAGTGGTGGCAAGTGGCAAAAGCATTCTTATTTGCTGGTTCAATAAATAGTAGCTTTTGTAAGTCATAATTAATTCTCCACACACACACACACTGACACACCCCAACCTCCCCAACAAAATGCATTCACCAAAAATAATCACACAAAGATGAAGATCGCCTCAACCAAACTAGTAAGTATCAGTTTTACACGCCTTCAGCCTATAGCTATAGCTCCTCCATATATCTAATATATTCACTATTTAATTTGAGGATTATTGTTTGGTTTGTGCACAGGTACAGATAAAGAGATGAATTTTTTGTTGGAATTTGTCACGTGTTCCAGCTCGTGCTCGCCGGAATCTACTATGCCGGCAACGGAGGGGGGAAGATTATTGTTGGTGGCGCAGAAGCGTCGCCGCCAGAAACTGGGCCGCCAGTGGCGACCCTCTCTGTCCTCCATATCTGAAGATGCGCTGGCGGCAAGGAGGATTGTTCACGAGCGGCCGGCCGCTGACTCCCGTTGTTGGCGGAGGAACTTGAAGACCAAGCTCTCGTCCATCTCACGAACCCCTTCGTTTGATCACGATGACGCCCGGTATTAATCTCTCGCTGATCATTATGAATGAATATAAATTATTACAATTGAATAGTACATATAATTGGCTACATTTTTTTTGGGTGTGTCTTGTAGGAGGCGAGCTCCACTGCCAGCCATAGCGATGGCAACCTTTTCTCCAACACCCTTCATGTTTTGAATTCATTCTCAAGCCCCAATACCGCACTTCCATCGCCTATATATAGCTACTTTGTGTGCACACTGAATAACTCGTGTGTAATTATGCCTTACAAAAAATGTATAGTATACTATGGCTTCAAATTGATGATATTGTAACATTGGTATAGTCCCCTTCCAGAACCATACCGTTGAGATTTGTAACCGTTAGATCATCATGTACTAGTCGTGGATAGTTGATCTAACGATTACAAATCCCGACGGAATGGTTCCGTAATGGGACCGTAGAATCTCCCCATACTATCGTACCACTTTATATTGACGCCGTTATTAGTTAAGCTCCCTTCTCCCACATGGAAGTTTAGCTTATGTGACCCCGCTGTACCTGTCTCTCTCTCTACATATATATATATATAGAGAGGGTCGGGTTCTAGTAAGAAAGGTAAGGTGAGCAAAACCGACCCAAAATCAAACCGAGCTATTTGGTGCGGTTTTTGAAGAGCTCGGTTAACGGTGCGGTTTGGATTTTTGAAAATCGCATATATTTCGGTGTGGTTCGATTTTCTCTCAGAAAGGTGAGGTATTAACCGAACCGCACTGAATGTTATATAGTATCATTTAGTTTTACACTCTTACATATGCAAGCTGCACTTTTATTTTACATTTAAAACATAAAATGAAGTCTTGCCCTAAATTTCACTCTCAATTTCAACTCTCAAGTTCTCTCAACCCCTGCAGCCACAGCAATTCATTTTCACCCTCAAGTCTCAACCCTACTCCGCCGCTCTGAACTCCCCGTTCCGCCGCTCGCCGTTGGTTGCTTACCCTCCGGCACTCTCAACCCTGCTCTCACCCACCGCAATATCAAGTTCTCAACACCGCCCTCGCCCTCCGGAGTTCTCGACCCCACTCTCACCGGCGATCTCGACCTCGCTCTCAGTCTCTCACTCTCTCGATTTTTTTTTTCTTTTCTCATTTCGATCCATCCGATCTTTCTTCAGTTTTTTTGTTGAGACCTGAGGGTAATTGATGCTTAATTTCCGAGAATCAGCTGTAAATCTGCAAACAAATAATTTTTTGCTCTAATTTCAGCCCCAATTTTGAGTGCTGCTGTATGAGTGAAGATCACTTCTGCTATTTTATTTGTTTTTAATTTATGAGTGTTGACATTATTGTTATGTTATGGATATTGTTTTGAGTGTTGGACTTATGTAACATTATGCATGCTGCATGTTTTCTTAATTATTGTGGTTGTTTTATTTTGTAATGGTAATGGGATGTTTAATTAACACTAGTACAGAGCCCCCGTGCGATGCACGGGATGTACAATTTTAAGGTCATTTATCGAGTCTTATAATTATATAAATGAATTATAAAAAATATAGTACGTGACCTGTAATAGGCCAAAATGTGGACACGGGTGATGCACGGGGTGCACAATTTTAATGTCATTTATTAGTACAAAGCTCGTGCGATGCACGGGGTACACAATTTTTTAGTATGTGTAATAAAAATACATATTGTATGTACGAGACAGAAGCACTAAATGAGTCATTTCCACATAGCTTGTCCGTTAAGTAGCTCCTGAACACGGGTGCACAATTTGTAGTACGTACAATAAAATCATAACAGATTTCCATACAATTAGATAGCAAATAAAGCCTTTTTTTTATTTTAGTAAAGATTCTAGGTACTTTGTTTTTTTTACTTATCGGATGTTATGAGATTTTTTTTGTTAAACCGATTTTATGGAATATAATACAAACACAATTAGAGGATTGAACAAAATCAAACAGATTTTCATACAATTAGATAATAAAAAAGAATTGGATAAGGAAAAGAAGGAAATACATAAGAAAAAGAAAGAATTAGATAATGAATTTTGAATTTGACTTTTTTTTAAGTATAGATAGACTTTACGTACAAATTTTGACTTCACTGATTTTATGGAATTTGTTTTGACAAAATCGATGTTAATATGGAATAAGACAAATAAATAAAGTCTTTTTATTTTAGTAAAGATTTTACGTCTTTTTTTTACTTGTCAGATGTTATGGGATTTTTTTCCATAAACTGATTTTATGGGATATAAGATAAATAAATAAAATAATTAAATAAAATTCGGGAGAGAAATAACAATGCATTAATTACGTTGACTTTTCAATCTACTAAATTTGGTAAATAGGATACCTTATATAATAAGTATAGATATACAAATAAATAAAATGCCAAAATTTTAAAGATTAATTAATGTATTCAAATTTATTATCTAGCCATCAGTAATATCATTTAATGATGTGATCATTATCTCTTAAATGATAAATAAAATATTAATTTAAAAAAATATATTTGTTTTCTATATACTCAAATAAAAATTTAAAAATACTATCGTCGAATATGAATTATAATATATATAATTAAAATTATTGCAGAAGTTAATCAAATTATTTAAGGAAAGAATCTATTTGATCATATTTGAATAAGAAATGTGTATATGCAAACAATTAATGCATATAGTAAAAAATTTCCAAATAAAGTATGCATTAAATGTGAGTTGACTTTTCTTGCTACTACTTTTGGTAAATAGTATGACTTTTAATATAAGTATATAGATTATTCATTAAGGGTAAAAATGTACCTCCACCCCTTGGATGTACACCAAGATGTAAAAGGGAGGTACATATAGCATTATTCTTAATTAAATCTAGATTAATTTGTATGTTTGACCATTAATTTGTAGTAATCCTTTTTTAATTACCAAAAAACTGCACCGAATACCCAAGAGCGCTTGGATGAGATGGCTTGGGTCTCTTCCAGCTTAACCAGTGGTCTCGAGTTTGAGCCCTGAGAATGCAGCAGTGTTAAAACTCTTGAGGGAGAGCTTTGTCGCCCTTGTGGTCCTACCCGGCTCGATTTCGGATTAGTCGGTTTCCTTGTGGATCCGGAAACCGGAAGGTCCCTGTACCAAAAAAAAAAAACAAAAAAAAACTACACCGAATGACCGAAATTTTTGGTTCGATTTGGTTCAGTGAAAAAATCCATGGTTCTGAAAACCGGACCGGTCATCGAACCGGTCGAGCTACTGGTTCAATAGTTCACTGGTCGGACCATTGGTTGAACCGGTTGGACCGGAATTTAATATATTAATATTTTTTAAATATATGATATATTATATAGTAAATTTATATATAAAAATATATTTAATTAAATATTTAAATACTTAAAGTATGCATAAATATTTTATAAATATCCATTAGACTTAAAAGCTATAAGGTTAAACATATATGAAATATATTATAAAATATTTTATATGACATAGAAAGTGGATATGAGAAACACAATTAATATATTACAAATGTATTATTGCCTCAAAATAATAATCACCAAATTCTGTAACTTTTTTTATTAGAGAAGAAATACAATTAATATATTACATATATATCATTATCTCAAATGTAATAATAATATTCTAAAGCCCATTAAACCACTCATTGTAAGATTTTTTTTTTATTATTCATGTCCATTTCTTAAATATAGTGCATACTGCACAGTAAACATAAAAAGTTGACTTGCTTTTTCTAATAAAGTCTACTCGATCAGCAAGTTGCAATCAGTTAATACTGTAAGGCCTAATAATTTCGTACTTTATTTGTGAACAATTGTGCCAGTTGCATTATCATGTGCCTTGGCACACCTTGTTAGGTGTGCCAGGCGAGATTTGCACACACCCCTCAGGTAAAAACAAAAAGTGTTTAAAGTTGTTTTTTATTTAACGTGAAACCACGCGCCTGTACGGTCAAATCACACCTTTTAACATTTTTTTTCCACTATTTTGTCGGCATTGCGCCTCGATTTTCCAACCGTCTTCTCCCCCAACTGCTGCAACTCCTCTTCATTCTCACCATTTTTTTCTCTTAATTTTCTCTGTTTCACGATCAAAAGTTCCCGCAGAAGACAATTTTAACTGAAAAACGCTCAATTTCTGACGATCCCTACTTCACAGGTAAGATTTCTTTGCATTTCATGTCGATTAAATTTCAATTTCATAGATTTTAAATGTTAAACTTATAAATGAAAAACCCTACTTCATGGCAGATGGAAAACGAGACATTGCGGAAGATGTTGGTATGTATTTTGTGCCTTGGGTTGAAACCATTCCGATTAGATATTCAATTCACTTTCCAAAACCCTATTTTCAATTTCAAATTTATGTGCCTAGGGTTTAAAGTAGTCATTGCAAAAGATTGTATAATGTGTTATTAATTTCTTGCCACACGGGATAAAATTAAAGCCCGTAGGAAAAATAGTTCGAAACAACGGCCAGAAAATGTTGGTGAATGGTATGTCCGCCTTGTTCATCTTCATTCGTATATTGGTTCATTTGAACATGTTCAATTTGCTTTTAAACATATTCATTTGTTTATTAAACATGTTAATTTCGTTGTTTTGAACATGTTCATTATACAATAGAACAAGTTTAATAAATACTGAAACATTATTATTTTTATAGAAAAAATTCATTTTTTTTAAACATGTTCATTTTGTATATTAACATGTTCATGTTATATATAAACATGTTAATTTATATATTAAACATGTTCACATCATACTGAAATATTGTCATATTAAATGGGTGATTAGTCTTTTTGTTTTGTAAAAGTTCAGAGCACATATCATATAGACATGATCATTATACAATTAAACATGTTCATTACATACTAAAACATGTTCATATCAAAGTGTAACATGTTCATTTTATATTTCAACATGTTCATTATACAATTTAACATGTTCATATTATACTGTAACATGTTCATGATATTATTTTTGTAGAAAAAGGAAAACTAATACTCTGAGTGAGCAAACTGAAAGAAAGAAGCAAAAATTAACCTCTGAAATAAAAGAAGAAGGGGGATTCTTAAATAGAGTTTCCCCTCAAGGGTTGTGCAAATTTTTCAAAGACTTGGATGACCGACAGAAAGAAGATGTAAAGAGTATAGGTTTTGGTCATCTTCTCGACAT